TAATTCCATGGTGCATGAATATATTTTGTTATCGTGTGATACATCCTTTGATCCTTTACTGACGAAGCCTTCGTCTCGGTCCCGTCTTAAAATGTAGTGAGGGAAATTGGTCGATGTACAGCCTTCCTAAGCTCACACTTGTTCAGTAATGCACACGCATATATGAGGTATTAGATAAACACGCGTCGATACGAATTTTACCATCGAGTGTTCATGACATCTTTTACTCCTTCAAATAGATAATTCAATTCAAGCAGATAAATTCGTATCCATAGGCCGACGTGCATCATCCTTTTTATTCAAAAGATATTGATCGAAAATTTAAATCAAATACCATTTTTTAAATAGGAGCATCGAATACAGAGATCCGCTACACCGAAACTCAGCTCGCCGGAAAACCAATTCAATTTCGGACATTACAATACAACAATTTCTCATTACAAAAACTATTTCCTTTGAAAAATAATTGAATTCAGCTTCAGGTTAAAAAACAATTAAAAAAAAAGCCCGCATGGAATGAAAAACTGTCATGTTGATAAATTCGGTTCTAATGACGACCTTGATACTTTTATATGTGAAGATATAAATGGTACATTTACAGCGTCAACCATATTACCGTTATTATTACTATATATCGCGAATGTTACGATATCAGAAGAAACGTAAGGATTGTGGTTTTTTTTTCAATCTGGAGCTTTGCTTCAAACTTCGTTTGTTTTCGAGAGATATTTTCTGGTTTTGATATTGACGAGAGCTATAATTATATACAGCGTGTTATAAACTTGGAGTATTCTGATTACTTGTTTGCTGGATAATGTATTGATATTACAGGGATAATTTACAAGTTATATCACTTCTAGGAGTTTAAAGCTCAAGGAAATTGCATCGAGTGCAGAATATTAAACCACGAGTCAAAAAAAACCACTGAAATATCTTCACATCTAATAACAATAAACCGGGAAAATTCGACTGAATTAAAATTTAATTGTTGTCAGCCGCAAGAAAAATAAGATTGCGATCTTTCATTATGGATAACATGAGCTCTACGGCTCTAATCAGTTGCAGAATGAAAATTGATTTGTACCTGTTAAACTGTTATCCT